GAGCTTGTGAGAGACACATACATTACCCAGACCTACAAGGAACGCTCCGCAAGAAGCAGAAGGGGCCTCTGTGAGCCAGTGGGCCAAGAGCAGGGCTGTTTGAGTCAAGGCTGTTTTTAGCACCCGTCTGCCCGGCAGGCTGGGGAGGTCAGCTTCCACCCCTGCCCGTCTTTACTTAGTCACAGCAATCAAGAATGGTGGGTGGGGGCGTCCTCTTGGAGCACTTCAGGCTCTATTGGACAGGACAGGCCTGCCTCAGTGTTCCAGCCTCCCTCGGCCCCCAGAGTGTGCCATTATCCTGGAACATTCTGTACCTCCAGGATAGGATATAAAAGTCTCCCAGCCAGTTTGGAGGGTAGATGTAATGTATTCAGTTTCTGCAACGATCTACAAATGATCACAAGCAGTGCTTCGGCTCTGCTCTCAGAGCTCACGGCAGGGGCGTCCTGGCTAGCTTCCTCACTGCCTCTGCGGAGGCGTGCTTTCGTGTGCACCCCCTGCCACCTCCTGGGAGAGGCACAGGTCCCAGCCCTCCAAGTAAGGTTCTCTTCTGAATGAGGCCCGACCGTAAGCCAAATTCCTATTAAGCTCTGTGGAAGCCACTTTTTTGCTGTGAGGGGGTGGCTCCAGCGTGGAGTGACAGCAGTCCCTGCTGTTTCTGTGCAATTTTAATCGGAAACAACCAGCCGCCAAGCCGCGTGCCACAAATGCCAGCGGGGAGGGGGTAGGAGGGGACCGGAGCGGGGGGCGGGGGGGTGGTGGTGGCGGGCTGGGCCGGGCAGGTGCTGACCGCGAGGGCAGCTCCGGGCCTCCAGGGGGCGGGGCTCCGGAAGGGGTGGAGCTCGGCGGGGGGTGGGACCGCGGGGCAAAGCTGTGGCAGTAACTTCCGGTCCACAGCGGTCCCGACCCTGAAGCCAAGTTCTGCGCCCCGTCGCCCCCGCCCCCGGGCGAGCTGAGCTGCTCCCGCCCCACACTCCGGAGGAACAGGGTTGGATTTAGCCTAGGCTTTGGGGGAGGAGGTGGAGGGGAGGCGGGAAGGCCCTCCTCTCCCGGGTGTCTTTGTGAAGTGACGGGACTTCTTTCCAGTGCAGCAGTCTGCCTCAGCGCCCCCCCCCCCCCCCCCCCCCCCCCCCCCCCCCCCC